GAGGAAGTCTCCTGCTGAGAGAAAGTACAATGTTTGCTACTTGTTGGCTAGTGTATTTTTTTTTTTTATAATCATGTCATATTCTGGAACTTATCCTGATGGAGGTGCTTTTAATGTCCCTGTTCATGACCCGAATGGCTTTGGCAATTTTGGGTTGGTTTTTTTTTTTTTTTTGGCTAAATCTCAGTGGAGATTTGCTCTGAGCGTCTTCCCAGCATCAGACAAAGTAATGGACCAGATCCATCCTTTGTTATTAAGCCCATAGAAATCAGCGTGGCTCTTTGAATTCTTTGAATAGGTTGATTTCAGGCTAGACCTGAAATCAACCTATTCTATAGATCTGGGTGAAGATAGCTACAAGAGCCGAAAAGCAGAGCGTCAATCAAATCAATAAATAGCAGCAGTTCCTTTAGGGACCGAAGATACAACAGCGCTGAAAAAAGTCACTTAGGATCGTTTTTCATAGCTACAACCGTTGTAAGCGTCCCCGTGGCCATGTGATCAAAATTCAAACCAGTTTGGCGACTGGTTCCTATTTATGACAGTTTGCAGCGTCCCGGGGTCATGCAATCCCCCTTTGGCGACCTTCTGACACGCAAGTCGTAAAATGGGGCAAAACTGTCACTCAGGCAGCGAAAATGTTGGGCTCAAGTGTAGTCGTAAGTTGAGGACTCTGCCTGTCGTGTCTGTATTTTTAACCTGTCTGCCTTGTCCTGTCCGCCCTGCCCAGGTCTCCTTGAACATGGACGCAACTGGTCAGCCATTGCCCGCATGGTGGGGTCCAAGAGCGTCTCGCAGTGCAAAAACTTCTATTTCAACTACAAGAAAAGGCAGAACTTGGATGAGATTCTGCAGCAGCACAAACTGAAAATGGTAAGCGTCGCACACATTGCCTTCACACTGGCCCAGCCTTGTGGTTTGAATTTGTTCTTGGGGGCTGCGGGTCTTCTACCTTCCGGCGTGGCTTGTGGGAGTGGGTGGGTAAGCGCTAAGACAGCGTGTGTGTATGCGTCTAATGCCCTCGGTGACCCGGCTTTGTGGCCAAACACATTTTGAGTCCGGAGAAAAAAAATTGCCAAGTGGGCAGTTGTGGTTTATGGAAGAGGTATACCAGGGGCCTTCAAACCTGGCTCTTTGATGACTTGTGGACTTCAACTCCCAGAATTCCTCAGCCAGGCAAGTCGACTGAGGGATTCTGGGAGTTGAGGTCCACAAGTCGTAAAGGATGGAGACCCCTGGACTAGAGTGAAATGGTGTGATTTCAGCCTGGTTGAACAACCACCAAGCTAGCTTGTTGGCAACAAAAGCCATCCTAAGCTGAACTAAGGTGATGCTATGAATAGGAAATTTACAAAAGGTCTAAAGCAGGGGTCTTCCAACTTGGCCCTTTTATGACTTGTGGACTTCTACTCCCAGAATTCCTCAGCCAGGCACGCTGGCTGAGGAATTCTGGGAGTTGAAGTCCACCAGTCATGAAGGGGCCATAGTTCCCCCATGCTGGCTGAGGAATTCTGGGAGTTGAAATCCGCAAGTCATGAAGGGGCCAAGTTTGAAGACCGTACGATATACACATTCATACAGGTGGTCTTAGTGGATTTAGTGGCTGTTTGAAGTTACGACAGCACTGAAAAAAAAAGTAATTTGTGACCACTCCCCTCACTTATGACCAGTCCTTCCACTTATGACCGGTCCTTGCACTTACGACTGACACAGCATCCCCATGGTCAAGTGATTACAATTCAAACACTTCACAACCATGTATTTAGGACGGTCGCAGTGTCCCGGGGTCCCGTAATCACCATTTGTGGTGTTCCCAGCTGGCTTCTAACAGCTAAATGGGAAAAGCCGAATTTGCTTAATGGCGGTGTGATTCACTTAAGAACTGCTTAGCCATGACAAAAGGTCATAAAATTGAGCCTGGCTCACTCCCAACTGCCTTGCTTCGGCAAGAGAAATTCTGCTCCCAGTTGGGGTGCAGCAGGTGAATTTCTGGAATATTTCTCATTTACCTGTGGAGTTGTGTGTAGTAAAAGTGGCGGTGATAATTGGTTGTCGTTTTGAAAGCTTTCCTTCTTAGCCCCAGCTGGAAAAGTGAGCTTGTGATGACGGATGTGGCTATTTTTAAGCACCCTCCGGCCATTTTGATAGGGGTATTTCCAAGCACCCAGCTCCTCAGATGCCTGTTGGCTGAGTCCACTCGGTCACTTTTCTGCTGCCAAATCTTTCCCCTTTTCCATCATTACGATCCCAAAGATTTATTCCTCGCCTTCCAGGGAAGGGCTGGAGCCCAGCACGTTTCATAAAAGCATAAAGGAAGCCGTGTAAATCACAAGTCTTTAAAACGGCACCAATAAAAACCCCACCGGTAAGAAAAGATGAATTAAAATGGCGTTTGGTCCCAAGGCAATTAGAGGCTGATGAAGGCCTTGGGTGTTTTAGGATGAAGGTTCTCTTAGATATTATGGCAGAAGGAGAAACAAACAAACATGGAAGATTTGAAAAAGCGGAGAGAAAAGTAAAACATCTGAAAAAGGAACAAAGGCACTGGGGAAGTACAGGTAGTCCTCGGACTTGTGACCAAAATTGGGAGCAAGAACTTTCACGAAGCAAGGCGGTTGTTAAATGAATGCGGTCTGGTTCTGCGACCTTTTTGTGTCATTGTCAAGCAAATCAGGCTTCCCCTTTTCATTTTGCTGGTCGGAATCCAGCTGGGAAGCTTGCAAATGGGGGTCACGTGAACCCCCGGGACGCTGCAACTGTCATACATACAGGCCGGTTGCCAAGGGCCTGAATTTGGATTCCTTGACTGTGGAGATGTGCAATGGTCATAACTGCAAGGACTAGTCATAAGCAGTGGTGGGATTCGAATAGGTGAAGGACCGGTTCTCTGTGTGGATGCCGCTTCTGGAAGTCCGTTCTGGGCCTGGGAACCCAAAAATTAGCTTCCGGTTCTGCCGAAGTGGTGCGAACTGGTTGAATCCTACCACTGGTCATAAGTCACCTTTTTCAGTGCCCTTGTAACACTAGATTGTTGCATTTTGGAAAAGGCCAGGGGTCAAGCTGGAATAGATGGGAGGAAGGTGGCTTAAGCCCACCCACCATGCGAGGATGTTAAGCCCTACGATGGCTTGATTCAGCTGAGTTTGATATATAAAACAATAATTAAAAAAAACACACTCCTCTCATTTTTCTACTCTTTTTGTTGGTGCTTTTTTCTTCTCTCCCGCTTTAATTTTTTCCCTTTCCTTGTGCTGGTATCTGGAAGCATCTTTGCAGAAAGAAAGAAAAAAAGAACAAATTACCCCAATAAAACGAGCTCTGGCCGTGGAGTTGAGTAGTATGGCTTAAGTACAGTGAGTGTGTGTTACTGCGAAAGGTGTCCCTGTGTTTTCGCACCTATCTGTTGCCTAAAAAGTTACACAACAGAAGAGGATCAGCAGCAACAACAGCTGTTGTGCTTCTCCCTTGGGCCTGATCTTATCGAGAAGATCAGACAGGGCAAGGCAGAGTAGGAGTAAGTGAGAGAGATAATAATATTTGTTTTAAAAAACCCCCGAAAACTTAGCAATAAGCCTGGAATTTGCAGAGAAAGGAGGAGGAGAAATGAGCTATCATGGGAAGCCAGGTTTAACTCTACAGGCAGTCCTTGACTTACGACCACAATTGAGCCCAAAATTTCTGTGGCTAAGTGAGACATTTGTTAAGTGGGGTTTGCCCCATTTTACGACCGTCCTGGCCAGCGTTGTTAAGCGGATCCCTGCAATTGTTAAGTTAGCAACAGGGTTGTGAAGCGAATCTGGCTTTCCCCATTTGACTTTGCTTGTCAAAAGGTCACAAAAGGGAGATCACGTAACTCCGGGACACCGCAACCGTCGTAAGTACGAGTCAGTTGCCGATCGTCCAAATTTAGGTAGTCCTCGACTTAGAACAGTTCTTTTAGTGATTTTTGAAGTTATAATGGCACTAAAAAAAAGGACTTAGGACCCTTAACAACGTGGTCACGGGATCAAAATTCGGATGCTTGGCAACTGGTTCGTATTTATGACGGTCGCAGCGTCCTGGTGTCGCGTGATCCCCTTTTGCAACCTTCTGACAAGCAAAGGTGTCAAGGCAATGATTTAGAAGCTAATCAGCTTATGGCAGTGATGGGGAACCTTTTAGAGACTGAGTGCCCCAAAACTGGCCCCGCCCTACTCCACCCCCTTCCACCGCCCCCACTCTGCCTGCCCACAGGGCCACTCATCACCTCCAGGGCCCACCGCAGATCGCCCAGGCAGCCCAGCAGCACCATGGCGGCCATGCCCTCTGCCCACGCCCTGCAGCATCAACTGTGCGTGATGGGGTATGAGGGCAGAGTCTTGTCTGTGCTGCCTGGCTGCCATGTCCTTGGCTGTGCTTCTCCGCATGGGCCACGCTTGGGGGCGACTCTCCTCCAGGGGGGCTGCTGGTGAGGAGGGGGTCACGGGGGGAGGCAAGGCTGGGGCAACAGCACGTGTGCCCACAGAGAGGGCTCCGAGTGCCGCCTCTGGCACCCGTGCCATAGGTTCGCCACCACTGGCTTATGGAATGTGAGATGTAATTATGGGAATGACTCAGCAGGGTCTGTGTCCCTTTAAGAGCCAGCTGGGTCTGTATCTCTTTAAGAGCTTTGTATAAAAGGGAAGGCTCAGCAGATGTGTTCTCTCTCTTCCATTTCCTGCTGCAGTTGTGGTTTGTTGGATCCTGCTGTATTAGCACCTGTATGTATTTTATTTCTGGTGTATGATATTGTAGCTAGTATAAGATAAACCACCATTTAACACAAACCACTGTTTGCTGTGTTTACTCCTGGGTTATCTCGCGCAATAAGACTGCACTCTCTGACACACAGTTGAGCCCAAATGTTCTCTCGCTAAACGAGACATTTGTTAAGTGAGTTTTGCTCCATTATACAATCTTTCTTGCTAACAGTTGTTAAGTGAATTGCTGCACCTGTTAAGGTAGGGTCATGGTTGTTAAGTGGGTTTGCCCCCCCATTGACCTTTGCTTGCCAGAAGATCGCAAAAGGGGATCATGTGACCCCGGGACACTGTAACCGTCATAAGTACATGCCAGCTGCCGAGCATCTGAGTTTTGATCCCGTGACCACGGGGATGCTGCAGTGGTGGCGTGAAAAATGATTGTACGTCACTTTTTTTTCAGTAACTCTAAATGGTCACTAAATGAATGGTTGTTAAGTCGAGGACTATCTGTGTTAAGAGGCCATGGTTTTCCCAGTTGCAATGTCTGGTTGTGAAAGCTGGACCATAAGAAAGGCTGAGCGCCAAAGAATGGAGGCCTTTGAACTCTGGTGCTGGAGAAGATTCCTGCGAGTCCCCTGGACTGCAAGGCGATCCAACCGGTCAGTCCTAGAGGAGATCAACCCCGACTGCTCTTTAGAAGGCCAGATCCTGAAGTTGAAACTCAAGTACTTTGGCCACCTAATGAGAAGGAAGGACTCCCTGGAGAAGAGCCTGATGCTGGGAAAGATGGAGGGCAAGAGAAGAAGGGGACGACAGGGAATGAGGTGGCTGGATGGAGACACTGAAGCAGGAGGCGTGAGCTTCAATGGACTCCAGAAGATGGTAGAGGACAGGAAGGCCTGGAGGAACGTTGTCCATGGGATCGCGATGGGTTGGACACGACTTCGCAACTAACAACAACACCTATACACAAGAATCTGAGCTACTAACAGTCAAGGTGAATTAGTACCAGATAAGAGTCAACCAACTGGACTTGAGGTGCCAAACTCATGGTGCATTTGACCATGTCACGTGACCCAGAGGTGCCCAAAGGTTTGGGGACCTCTGGGTCACGTGACATGGTCAAATGCACCAGGGACCGGTGCCACAGAGAACGGTTTTTCCGTGGACCGGGAGAGGTGTGGTTTTGAATACTGCCTGCATCCCGAGGATGGAGCTTTGCTTGTTTGTGTGCGGCCCATTGGCTGGCACGCTGCGGACTGGTGCCGGTCCACGAACCAGGGGTTGGGGACCCCTGACGTGACCAACTTGTTTTACGACCATCGTGACTTACAGCCCTAATGGGCAGGCTTGATTACAGTCCTACGTTGAGGACTACCTGCAGATGCGTTGATCTTCTCTCTGCCTTCTACATCTTCTTGATTGACGTCCTTAGCCTGACTTGATCATTTTCTCTGTTTCTCTTTTCTTTTTTGGCAAAAGAACAATGAGCGTTCAGCTGGTTTGCGTTGCCATTCTTCTTTCCTTTTTTCTTAAAAAGAAAAGAAAAAACTCCACGCTATTGTTTGCTGGCAACAACAGATGTCATAAATCTGAATAGGAGGGAGGGGGGAACAAAAAGCTTGCGGTTAATCTAACGTCCCGTTTTTTCCTAAACATTTGCTACTTTGTGCGCACACAGCAGGCGGGAGGGATGGGCCAGGGATCTCCGGAACGGAAGAATTAAACATCATTTTGATGTGGGGCTCTGGAAACTGATCGGAAAAGGTTGCTTGGGAAGTTAAGAAGCTGAGCAGTGTGCTGGGACTGGAAGGAAAACAACACACTTTTGGCTTTAATTTGGAGTTGCGGTGCTCAGATTGGTCTTGCCAAACAAACCAGATTTAGTGGATCGTGGCTAAGTGCTACCGACCCATTCACTACATTTCAGCCGTCCTTTAGTTAGGTTTCCAGGTAGTCCTCGACTTAACAACCATTCTATTTAGTGAATGAAGTTACAACGGGCACTGGGGAAAAAAGGGACTTATGACCGTTTTTCACAGTTACGGTCTTTGCAGCATCCCCATGATCAGAATTCAGATCCGTGGCAACTGACTCATATTTATGACGGTTGCAATGTCCCGGGGTCAGGTGACCCCCTTTTGCGAACATCTGGAGGTTTTTAAGAAGAGACTAGAGCCCAGGGGTAGGCAACCTTGGCTCTTTTATGACTCGTGGGCTTCAATTCCCAGAATTCCTGAGCCACCATGGCTCAGTTTGGAAACCTCTCCCTTTCCCCTCAGCATGGCTGGCTCAGGAATTCTGGGAGTTGAAGTCCACGAGTCACAAAAGAGCCAAGGTTGCCTACCCCTGGGCTAGACAGTCATTTGTCTGAAATGATATATAGGTTCTCCTGCTTGAGCGGGGGGCTGGACTAGAACACCTCCCAGGTCCCTTTCAGCTTGACTCTGATTAACTGATCTCAGATCTAATCAAGGAGAAAAGCAACCTAGAACCAAGGAGAAACTTCCTAACAGCGAGAACAATTAACCAGTGGAACAGCCTGTCTCCAGAAGTTATAGGTGCTTCATTTTAAGAAGAGACTGGACAGCCACTTGTCTGAAATGATATAGGGTCTCCTGCCTGAGCAGGGGGTTGGACTAGAAGACCTCCAAGGTCCCTTCCAACTCTATTATTCTATTCTGTTCTCTTCTATTCTCTTCTATTCTATTCCGTTCCATTCCATTCTATTCTATTCTATTCCATTCCATTCCATTCCATTCTATTCTATTTTCTATTCTATTTTCTATTCTATTCCTATTCTATTCTATTCTATTCTATTCTATTCTATTCTATTCTATTCTATTCTATTTTCTATTCCATTCCGTTCTCTCTCTTCTGTAATAATTCTATTCTATTCTATTCTATTCCATTCTATTCTATTCTATTCTATTTTCTATTCCATTCCATTCTCTCTCTTCTGTAATAATTCTATTCTATTCTATTCTATTCTATTCTATTCTATTCTATTCTATTCTATTCTATTCTAAGCACGGGCCCAGCCATGGTCTTCCAGATGTTGCAAATATTTCCCTGGCCTCCCGCGGCCCGTGCCGACTTCTGGAGATGGGTGGTTAACCTGGCAAAATATTCCCTGCTCTGCCTTCTACGTGGCCGTTCCCGTATTTTAATCTCTGGTTTATTTTTCTTTAATCCCTCTTTTGCCTTGCTTCCCCCTCCCCCCCCCCGGTGCTCCGAACGGAAAGCTCTTGGGGAGAACATCTCCCAGCGGGAAAAGCGTCACGCCATCCAAAGCTGGTTCCCCGTTGTCCAGCCCAGGTTAATTTTCTTGCTCCGTCGGTTTGCATGAGTCACCCGGGACGCCAGCTCCAGGACCGCTTTGCCATAGTAACGGGAGCGTTGCCGCGTTTGTGTTCACATCATCAAGCACCCCAGCGACGGGCGGGCTGTGTTTCTTCTCCTGATAATGAGCACTTATCCAAATGGTGTCTCTGGCAGGAGTTCAAACTGAGTCAAGGCTCTCCTCTGTAACTGATGAAATCTGTTTGGGGTTTTTGTTTTGTTTTGTTTTTCCATTTTAATCGAGTTTATTCCAAGAGAAAAAACACAAGTAGAAACCCAGGTTTAGGAAAGTGAAAAGAAGGAAAAGTTTAAAAAGGTCACCTGGCCATTTTTTATTTTGTGCGTCTGGGTGCCCAGGACAAGAACCACACCACAGCATTTCCTGGTGTTTAGCCCGGTGCTTTAACCACTAGGCCACACTTTGTCTCTCCCTGCATTTTTCCAGGATGAAATCAGAATTATAGTGAGCAGATGTGCCAAACGCTGACCTCTAGGTCTTTGTGAAGCCGGCATAAATATTTCAAAGTATCCTCCGTATAAAAACGTTCAATGGGTGTTATTAATGCAGTGGATCAAAAATCGTAACAGCGGGCGTGCATTTATTTGTGTGTGTGTGTGTGTGTGTGTGAATCTGCGTGCGTGGTTGTGCAACTCTTTCCCTTCCTTCTGCAGTGCAGTTGAGATGCTGCAAAAGGTTGTGATATTGTGGAGGCCGACCGAACGTAGCAAAAATGCTTCCAAAAATGGTCAATTCTTGCAAACTTATCTTCATTCTTTAGGCTTGGGTTTTTTTGGGGTTTTTTTTTTGCACTTGTGTACAAAAGTTTATGCAATCTGAAATCCTGGGAAGCAATGCACACTCATTTCAGCCCCTGCTTTTTTTTTTTTTAATTGCCATTTCAACCTCCTGGTATTGTGTGTGTGTGTGTGTGTTTAGTCCTGGCCGATGCAGTGATTGACGATAAGATGGTGTTCCAGCAAGATTCATAACCCTCCTTTTCTGCTTGGCTTGCTCAGGAGAAAGAAAGGAACGCTCGGAGAAAGAAGAAAAAGGGTCCTGTGGTCCAAAATGAGGAAAGGGCTTTTCCCCCGGTGACTGAGGACGAGGAGATGGGCCAGGATGGGTCAGGCACCAGCGGCAACGAGGAGGAGATGGCCGAGGAGGTCGAGGCAGAAGGTGAGATGGTTCTCCAGGATGAAACTGCACCTCTTGGTCCGGTTTTGCTTCGGCCAGGGGTCTCCAAACATGGCAACTTTAATGTCTATGGAGATTCTCGGTCATCCCAACTCATGGTTGTCCCCAGGGTGCTTTTCCGAAAGGAAATTGGACTTTGTTTTTCCTTGAACAATTTTCGCTTCTCCTCCAAGAAGCTTCTTCGGTTCTGGCTGACGTCAGATGGAGCTGTCACCTGTCCAAAACGTTGCAAGCGAGCCCGGTTGTTGATGCCCCTCCCCAAAAAAGGGAACTCAATTAAAATAGAGCTGGAAGGGACCTTGGAGGTCTTCTAGTCCAGCTCCCTGCTCAAGCAGGAGACCCTACGTCATTTCAGACAGGTGGCTGTCCAGTCTTTTCTTAAAAACCTCCAGTGATGAATCTCAAAGACGCTTTTTCACGAGGCAACTGGGCTTTCTCGTTTTTCTTTGAAGACGTTTCGCTTCTCATCCAAGAAGCTTCTTCAGCTCTGACTGGACGGTGGGGAGTGGGAGGACCATCATAGTCAAAGCTGAAGAAGCTTCTTGGATGAGAAGTGAAACATCTTCAAAGAAAAACAAAGTCTAGTTGCCTCATGAAAAAGCATCTTTGGGACAACGATGACCTACATGACTGAGAATCTCCATATACCTCCAGTGATGGTGTGCCCACTATTTCTGGTGGCAAGCTGTTCCACTGGTTAATTGTCCTCACTGTTAGGAAGTTTCTCCTTAATTCCAGGTTGCTTCTCTCTTTGGTCAGTTTCCATCCATTGTTTCTTGTCTTGCCTCATATTCTAGTACCCTAGTAGCAAATCTAGACCTTCAGTGATGGAGCGCCCACTATTTCTGAGGGGATTGTCCAGTCAAAGCTGAAGAAGCTTCTTGGGTGAGAAGCAAAATGTCTTCAGAAACAAAGGGAAGTCCAGTTGGTTTTGGAAAAAGCACCTTTGGCAAAATTTTATGACTGGTGGAGTTCAACTCCCAGAATCCCTCAGCCAGCAGGGCCGGCTTGGGGAATTCTGGGAGTTGAAGTCCACCCATCTTAAAAGTCACCAAGATTGAGAAACAAAGATGCTTTTTTCTGAGGCATCTGGACTTTCTTGTTTTTCTTTGACGACGTTTCGCTTCTCCTCCAAGAAGCTTCTTCAGCTCTGTGGGAAGATGAGATGAGAAACATCTTCAAAGTAAAATAAAGAAGGTCCAATTGCCTCGTGAAAAAGCATCTCTGGGACCACCATGACCTGGGTGACTCCATAGACACTGATGCACTGCTTAATATTTTCTGTTTCCTCAGCTAGTTTGCCCCTAAGGCAGGGGTCTTCAAACTTGGCCCTTTTATGACTTGTGGACTTCAACTCCCAGAATTCCTGAGCCAGCCGTGGTTGTGAAGTGTCTGAATTGTGATCACTTGACCATGGGGATGCTGTGACAGTCGTAAATGCAAGGACCAGGCCTAAGTGCAAGGACTGGTCATAAGTGAGGGGACTGGTCACAAATTACTTTTTTTTCAGTGCTGTCGTAACTTCAAAAAGCCACTAAATCCAAGACCACCTGTATGAATGTGTATATTGTACGGTCTTCAAACTTGGCCCCTTCATGACTTGCGGATTTCAACTCCCAGAATTCCTCAGCCAGCATGGGGGAACTATGGCCCCTTCATGACTTGCGGACTTCAACTCCCAGAATTCCTGAGCCAGCATGGGGGAACTATGGCCCCTTCATGACTTGCGGACTTCAACTCCCAGAATTCCTNCAACTGGGCTTTCTCGTTTTTCTTTGAAGACGTTTCGCTTCTCATCCAAGAAGCTTCTTCAGCTCTGACTGGACGGTGGGGAGTGGGAGGACCATCATAGTCAAAGCTGAAGAAGCTTCTTGGATGAGAAGTGAAACATCTTCAAAGAAAAACAAAGTCTAGTTGCCTCATGAAAAAGCATCTTTGGGACAACGATGACATACATGACTGAGAATCTCCATATACCTCCAGTGATGGTGTGCCCACTATTTCTGGTGGCAAGCTGTTCCACTGGTTAATTGTCCTCACTGTTAGGAAGTTTCTCCTTAATTCCAGGTTGCTTCTCTCTTTGGTCAGTTTCCATCCATTGTTTCTTGTCTTGCCTCATATTCTAGTACCCTAGTAGCAAATCTAGACCTCCAGTGATGGAGCGCCCACTATTTCTGAGGGGATTGTCCAGTCAGAGCTGAAGAAGCTTCTTGGGTGAGAAGTGAAACGTCTTCAGAAACAAAGGGAAGTCCAGTTGGCTTTTGAAAACACACCTTTGGCAAACTTTTAAGACTGGTGGACTTCAACTCCCAGAATCCCTCAGCCCACAATGGCCGGCTTGGGGAATTCTGGGAGTTGAAGTCCACCCATCTTAAAAGTCACCAAGATTGAGAAACAAAGATGCTTTTTCACGAGGCATCTGGACTTTCTTGTTTTTCTTTGACGACGTTTCGCTTCTCCTCCAAGAAGCTTCTTCAGCTCTGTGGGAAGATGAGATGAGAAACGTCTTCGAAGTAAAATAAAGAAGGTCCAATTGCCTCGTGAAAAAGCATCTCTGGGACCACCATGACCTGGGTGACTCTATAGACACTGATGCACTGCTTAATATTTTCTGTTTCCTCAGCTAGTTTGCCCCTAAGGCAGGGGTCTTCAAACTTGGCCCTTTTATGACTTGTGGACTTCAACTCCCACAATTCCTGAGCCAGCCGTGGTTGTGAAGTGTCTGAATTGTGATCACTTGACCATGGGGATGCTGTGACAGTCGTAAATGCAAGGACCAGGCCTAAGTGCAAGGACCAGTCATAAGTGCAAGGACTGGTCATAAGTGAGGGGACTGGTCACAAATTACTTCTTTTTCAGTGCTGTCGTAACTTCAAACAGCCACTAAATCCAAGACCACCTGTATGAATGTGTATATCGTACAGTCTTCAAACTTGGCCCCTTCATGACTTGTGGACTTCAATTCCCAGAATTCCTCAGCCAGCATGGGGGAACTATGGTCCCTTCATGACTTGCGGACTTCAACTCCCAGAATTCCTCAGCCAGCATGGGGGAACTATGGTCCCTTCATGACTTGCGGACTTCAACTCCCTGAATTCCTCAGCCAGCGTGCCTGGCTGAGGAATTCTGGGAGTTGAAGTCCACAAGTCATAAAAGGGCCAAGTTTAAAGACCCCTGCCCTAAGGGCTGGCCTTCATGCTTAGATGTGCACCCAAGTCATATTCTCTCTCCACCAACTTTCCGGTGAATAGTTTGTGGTGACCTTGGGTTAAAAAGCAACGTCGCAAGCGACTGATAAACACTATCAGATTTTCTGGAGATGGAGCCAGAGATTAAAAAGTCCCTGATTATTTCGTAGCAGGACGTCTGTTTTTCATCTTTAGTAGTCAATGTGTCAATGTGGGGTAAAATATTGGTTCTAGGCAAGATGATTGTTTGGCTGATGGGCCTCAGAGATGGGGGTTACCCTAGGGTTGCCAGGTGTCCACTATTTGAGTGGACAGTCCACTTTTTTCACATTATGTCCACTATAGTGGACATTTTTTTTATTCAAAAGCTTTATGATGAAATGGTACGTAATCTAAAGCTGTACAGTCTTACTTTTTTTACTACTTAACCCCCCCCCCCCGCTTGTCCGCTATTTTTTGGAAGCAGACCTGGCAACCCTAACCATCACCATCATCACCACCATAACCATCACCACCACAACCATCATCACCTCCATTATAACCATCATCACCACCATTCCGGTGAATAGTTTGTGGTGACCTTGGGTTAAAAAGCAACGTCGCAAGCGGCTGATAAATACTATCAGATTTTCTGGAGATGGAGCCAGAGATTAAAAAGTCCCTGATTATTTCTTAGCAGGACTTCTGTTTTTCATCTTCAGTAGCCACTGGTCTGTGTCAATGTGGGATAAAATCTTGGTTCTAGGCAAGATGATTGTTTGGCTGATGGGCCTCAGAGATGGGGTTACACCAGAGGTCCCCAACCTTTTGGGCACCAGGGACCGGTTCCGTGGAGAGAGATTTTTCCATGGACCGGAGGGTGCGTGGTTTTGTGTGCTGCCTGCATCCCGTGGATGGGGCTTTGCTTGTTTGTGCGGACCGGTTGCTGGCATGCCGCGGCCTGGTACCAATCCACGGACTGGGGATTGGGGACCCATGGGTTACAGCAGGGATAGGTAACCTTGGCTCTTTTATGACTGGTGGACTTCAACTCCCAGAATTCCTGAGCCAGCCATGCTGAAGGGAAAGGGAGAGGTTTCCAAGCTGAGCCACGCTGGCTGAGGAATTCTGGGAGTTGAAGTCCACGAGTCATGAAGGGGCCAAAGTTTCCCTCATGCTGGCTCAGGAATTCTGGGAGTTGAAGTCCATGAGTCATGAAGGGGCCAAAGTTTCCCTCATGCTGGCTCAGGAATTCTGGGAGTTGAAGTCCATGAGTCATGAAGGGGCCAAAGTTTCCCTCATGCTGGCTCAGGAATTCTGGGAGTTGAAGTCCATGAGTCATGAAGGGGCCAAAGTTTCCCTCATGCTGGCTGAGGAATTCTGGGAGTTGAAGTCCACGAGTCATGAAGGGGCCATAGTTCCCCCATGCTGGCTCAGGAATTCTGGGTGTTGAGGTCCACGAGTCATGAAAGAGTCAAGGTTGCCTACCCCTGGGTTACAGGAACAAAAAAACAGAAATGGACAATTATCCCTATTTTTCCTTGGAACTGATCCAGCCTCTTGCAGAAGATGCTTGTTATTTACAGGTCGTCCTCGACTTAAAACGGTTCGCTTAGTGACAATTTGAAGTTACAACAATATTGGGAAAAATGGACTTAACAACCCTTTTTCACACGACCATTGCCCGCATCCCCCCCCCGATCAAAATTTGGACCCTTGGCAACTGGCTCGTATTTATGACGGTCACGGTGTCCCGGGGTCACGGGATCCTCCTTTTGTGACCTTCTGGCAAGCAAAGTCCCGTGGGGAGGGCCA